GACTTATTTCAAATAGGCTAATGCATTAATTAATAAAATTTCAAATAAATTTTTTAGTTATCGGATGACGAGCAGAAGTTCGTCGAACATTCGGCTCCCGAGGTAAATTTATCTTTCATCTTTTACTTTATTTTTTTTTTTTATTTTCTGGGAATAATTGTAAATATCTTAAATCATTTTTAGAAACCAAGTGATGTTTCCCATTGCGAAGATTACGTCCACAAAGTTATGGTAAGTTGTAAAACTTTTTTTAAAATGTACCGATACAAAGAATTTTAAAATACTAGATAGCTACTTTAGTAATACTATAGTACATGCAACTTTTTCTGTTTATAAATTAGTGTAAATATCAAATTTTGTACCATAGAAAACCATAGGGTACAGCGCACTGAATGTACTGTACGTTTTAGTTTAAAAATAAATCCATTTCTAGCATCTGTATACTCGTTTAATTTTGACAAATTTATTTTATTTATACAGTCGACCCCCTATAAGATATAGATACGTTCCATTCTTTGGAAACAGTAAAAAAACATTTAAAAAAACCCTATAAGATATAGGGGGTTTTTTACTGTTTTTTACGGATACCGGTCACAATTTTTTCGTAGTTTTATAGGAATCGTAATTATAGGGACCGTAATTATAGGGGGGTCGACTGTAATCGTTTGATGAATTACTTAGAAATTTTCTCATTAATTGAAGTATCCGTAGGCAATTAATTAAAATCGATAGGGAATATAGCAGCAGTCGAAATAAAAATAATTATGTAGTAAATTAAAGAATATTTAGTTTCATGCATTTTCAGAATTATAAAATTTTCTTCTTTATAATCTTATAGATTTTTAATATATTATGTAGTTTATAATTAAAAGTACGGCATAAAATATATTTTATTATCTCAAAATTTAAAATTCAATGTTATATTAATATGTAATATTAACATAACTTGGAAATACCATTGTATATAAGGCATTCGAAGTAACATATTAACATACATCTGTACGAACGTATTTATTGTCGTGCATTTCCCGGATCTAAAAACACAAAAAAAAACACAGTTTGTATGTAGTGCTTATCATCTGTATACACGAGTTGAACAGAAACGTCATATGCTTAACTGTGATAGGTATTCGCAGATCAATCACAATCGCAGGTCATTATGCGTAAAGCCTATGCATAAGGCACTTATTGCCCTATGCATAGGCTTTTCTTTCGTTCTACTCCAGTCCGCATTAAGCTATTAAAAGTTGCAATTTTACAAAAAAGGTAGACTTTTGCAATAAATTGCTTCAAATGAACATTACAAGTGCAATGCTAACAACCAGTTGGTAAAATTAAAAATATTTTAGGAAGTGGTTCTGCCGAACTAATGCGAACCGGGTAAACCTCACCACTGTCTATTTAGGTGTTAGACACGTGAATAAAACCAGGAAACATCACGTGGGCGTTCTGTTAGTGAGGCGCAAACCCGCGACCAGTAATTTTATCCACTCGTCAAGTAGGGGCTGGTGCTGCAAAAGTTATAGTGCTGAGCAATGCCATAGTACTACTTTTACTAATACACGAAAGTAGTAAAAGCAGTGACAAAAAATTTATGCTTTAGGGTCCGTAATTCCAGTGAAGCCCTAAAGCAACATTTTAAAATAAATTCCATTTAATGAATAAAATTTTAAAAAATTCCATCGATTTTTTAGAAATACCGCTTGTTTAGCACATTCTAATCCCTGAAGTTTTACATCTTCTGTGTTATAATGAGTGTAAACTTTGGTATTAAAAGAAGAATGGCCAAATTTCTTCAGGCTTCATACTGAAATGAGAGGACTGTTTCATGTTTCATGATGTTTCAAGATGTTTTATGAAACATGAAGCTTACGCCGCTATCTTGTTTCTATGTAAATTTAATATCTTTAAAAATAGATTTAATACCGTATATGATCATTTTTACTGATAAAAAGCAAGGCATTAATATTTAGATAAATATGATGAAGACATCGAAATATAAATAAATAATTATCTTATACTTAATATTGTCTACCTCCATTTCCGGATCAGTAACCCCTCCTAATATTAATTGTCACACGGAAAAAATCGTATTACTTAAAGATCCATTTTAATCGCAAGTTAGAACGCGATACAAAACAATATTTTAACTGATATCAGGATCTGAGTATAGGTGAGTGAATCTTACCGTTTCACTCAGCCTTTTAAAGATTTACTAACTTTGAACCATTCTACATAGTGAGCGAGGAATCACAGACCCCGTTCTTACAATATCATTAAAATTAAAGAAAGTTGAGATCAAAACTAAGTCAGATTATTGAAAATGGTTTGATTTAGTTCGACAGATATGGCAACGAACACATGGGCGATCTGCCAAGAATGTGAATGCCTCCCTGGAAGACATTCTACAGCAGTGTTTTTCAACCTTCTTGAATACGCGACCCCTTTACAAGTTAAAAAATTCTGGCGACCCCCCGGGCCCAATTTAANTTTTTATTTAGATAAATATGATGAAGACATCGAAATATAAATAAATAATTATCTTAATTAATATACGTATATTTTCAGAAAAATGTTAAAGAAAATTGTAAACCCGAATCTGAACATTACAGAGAAGAATGCGAAAGTTTTGAACTTTTGCACGAAAAATATTCCAAAGAAAGAAAAAATCATGCACCTTCGATTTCCGCTTTCAACGTAGTACACTTTATTATGGAGATTATTCTTTCTCTCGGAATATTAATGACGCTGTAATAATTAAGAACTTACTCTGAAACATTTACGTTGAAATTCTTAAAAATTTCAATTGAAATCCTTTGAAAACAAATATCGAATTCTACGTAAAAATATTTTTTTCTTCACTTTATATTGTCGCGATCCACATAGCAATGGACAATGTTTGTATGTTGAGAGCCATGGGATTCCATTTCAATGTGTATATGTACGGTATGATTTATTTTTAAGCAACTGACAAAGCTGTTTCAATACGTTACACATGCATGCACATTCTCTTTAGAAATATCTGTATATCGTGCAAAAAATAAAGGTTTTACTGTAAAATTTATTTTTGTGATAAAATTATTTGAAAATTAAAAAAATACAGATTTTAAAAAGTTTGTCAAATATTTAAAACTATAGGCTATACATGCAACATATAATTTTAGAAACGATATAAATGTAGTGTACAGTGGAACGTCGATTATCCTAATGTCGAATATTCGAACTTCTGTTCTTCCTCTTTTCTGATCCTCTATTTGGATGTTGAATGGCTGAAACCAAGAAAAAATTTTCGGTTATTTTTACGTGTTTAAGACCTAAATACGAACCAATTTCCTACAGAAAATCCCCTTTTTTTTAATTTCTTGTGCTTCACTGAATTGTCAAAAACGAGACATTAAATGGATAGATAAAAAAGGCAATAGTCTAATGCATGCTGATGCGTTTTCTGTGTTAGAAACAACTCTGGTATGAACAACTCTCAGAGATCTCGCCGCAAAAAGGAGGATATGAAATCAGCCTTTATGCAAAAAGTAATCAGCGATTACGTTTCAAATAAGCTATTTTACTGCACTTATTTCATTTGCATGCATGTTTACGTTAATTAAATTTCAGTTTAAGGAGATACGACAACGTAATACACCGGCGATCTGCCAAGGGGGAATGCCTCCCGGGATGACTTTACAAGAAACTATACTGTAGGCCTATTTAAGTATTAGACACGTGAGTTCGGTTTATTACAGTAACTACTATGTCATTTTAAAAACTTTTTGTCAATTTGTGAACTTTAATTTTTTACTTGCAAGGCAGAGAGCGTGGAGTCTAAACCACCAAACAGCCTTCTACCGATTACTTACACTCCAGTGCAGTTGAATTTAGTTATTATGAAATAAAATAGAGACTGGTAAACAGTACAATTATTGGTTACTCAAGGAAATTTCAATCTCAAAAATTCTATGACATAACATAAAGATTAAGTCTTTCTGTTATGTCATAGAAATATACTTTATATAAGTTTTATTTATTATATTTAGTTTACATTTCAGCCACTAGATGGAAACATATCCTAATCTATATACAGTATGTAATCGAGATGGGTTGATAATACTACTGTAATAATAATAAGGCAGATTCCAAACGGTTAGGAGTTAAAATTTGGTACGCAGTTAGGAAACGCCATAAGAATGCACACTAAGAAGGGATTTTTCGAAATTCCCCCCCCCGCAGGGGAAGGGGAGAGGGTTAAGTATTACCCTAAAGAACTCGGCTTCTATTGTACTATTTTAAATGCGGATTTTTGCTGGAAATCGAACATATTTAGACCCATCTAAAAATTCTGTAATTAGCCTCGGAAGAGGGGGGCCTAATTCTTACACTCGGTGAAAACGGGTAAGATCGGCTATATAACTATAAAGGTTCTCTTACGTAAGGGTATAATCACACCGAATGACCAGTCTAACACCTTTTAAAAATTCTTTATTCCTCTACTGTATACAATTTAAAGAATTTTTAAAATGTCTTAGATTGAACTCGGTGCGATAAACTCTTACGTAAGACAGCTTTTATAAATATAAATCAAATACTATAATATAATATAGTAGAAGGGTTAGATGTACGAAATAATGTAATAATCTTAAATCTTTGTTGTTGTTATTTTTTGCCCGGGCTCATCTGCAAGTTATTAATAAATGTTATATGTTAATACAGTGATTAGCACATTCCTTTATCTGGCGACTGAAATATGAACTGAATAAATACTGTCAATTTTTAAATGTTTTTATAGCATTGTAACCTTGCTGTGTTGCTACTCCAAAAATAATTTTGCCTCTTTTCTTTTTCTTTAACACTAAAAAATTGCTGTTGACTATCTTCATATAACTATATTTTCAATTTCTAAATAAAACAAGAATTAAATTAAAACAGAATTAAAGAAATCATGATATATAGATAATTAAATATAAAATAAATATTTTTATAACAAGTAATTATATTAATTTTTTTATATAAACTTAATAAATTGTTTCATTTAATAGGTTTTTACTAAGTTTACATAATTCAAAAATAAGAAATAACATTAAGTGATAGTGCTTTTGTTTTTTTTTTTATTGCTTGGCATTGGAAAAATGACTTTCATTGTGCTTTTAATAATGAATAATATTTTTTAAAAAGTGACATCAGACGAAGCCAGTTTCACTCGAATGATTATTCAAACAAAAGCTTTAATTTTAAGGCTAAATTTAACCTCAATAGCTCGATAAAAAAGGTATTGAGCTATTGAAAAAAACTGTTGGAAAAAATGCTTTAAATTTTCATGTGTAAAATCATATGCGAAATTTTACGATAATTTATCCTTTACCTTCAATTAATCCTTTAATCTTTATCTAATTTATTAATTCTCCATTTTATTTATTTATTTATTTATCTTTACCTTTAGTAATGTACCTTCTCTCTATATATATTTTTTATATTTTTAAAACAACAAAGCAAAATAATTTAATAGAAATATTTAATATAAACGTATAACATTCACGTTAGATTATTGTCTTAAAGTGTCCTTTTAATAAGAAATATTTATATTAATATAAACAAATTTTCTATAATAATTTAATATAAAAATCATTGATCTCCATATTAATTAAAAAAATTAATATTTATTTTAAATTACAAAACAAATCAATCTTTAGAAACGTGTTAATCATCACTAGAACACTTAACGATAGAATAAAACATATTTTCTTTAATTGTATTTAAACTAGGAAATAATTAGAAAAACAAACAGACAAACACATTCCACAATATATTTATATATTGTAAAATATAAATCAAAATCAAATTTATTATTATTATTAAATTAATTTTTTTTATTACTTTTTAAACACTTTTATCAATTAATTGCTTGAAAACAATCTTAAAAATCGAGAAATGAGTTGCCTAACTTTCCAGGCAAGTGAGTTAAAAAAAAAGTTGAGTAATCTTTTACGAGATTTTATTTTAAAAATTTCTATTATTAATTATTATAAAATGGCAAAAAGCGTAATTTAGAAAATAAAGATGAGTTTCATAAAAGAAAAAAATATTGTAAATGAGTAAATATTCATTAAGTCCGTCTCCTGTCGAGATACGACATATGACCCCCCCCTCCTCTATCTCCCACTCTCGACTTTTAACCATCAAAATTTCTCTAATATACAAAAACTTCCCTGCAAAATTTCAAAAATTTTCGACAAAAAAAGGCATAGGAGTTACAATCTTCAAAATGGGTGAATAAAATCGTGCTCAAAAGTGAAAAATTCAAATGGGTCTTGAATTCATGCCCTAAAAGAGGCTTTACTCACTCAGATACGTTAATCTCCTTCAATATTAATTAAAATTAGGGTATATAGTAAATATGTTATAACATGTAAATGTGAAATATTTAGGCTACTACTTTAGCATTATGGTGTTTTATGTTTAACACTTAAAATATTTGTAAATTTGTCTGAAATGCACGTCTAGTTTAGTAAATAGTTAAAAATTTTATACAGTAAATGATGTCCTGATTATATTTTTACCATGACCTAATTTAGATCAGGATCTATCGAAATGGAACTAATCATGGAACTATTGACATGGTACATTAAAAATGTACCTATTCATTATTATTAAGTAATAATAATGAATAGTTTCATTTCTGTTTATCTATGGGGACGTTTGTATTTTATTAAAATCCTGTCATTTCTAAATTATTGTTATGACAGAAGTCATAACAAATCTCCAATGAACGAACAAAACTTTTTATTTATTTGTCACGAATATGTGATTATTAATGATAAACAAGTACTGTGATTATTCTATTTTGAAAGTAACAGTAATTAATGATAATCAACAGAGTAAATGCTTATTAAGATTTTCATCTAAAAAATTGAATTTAAATATTAAATCCGAAACAAAATATTTAATAAATAATTTTTTAAAGTTATTGGGCTGCAATTTGAAAAAAAAAAAATAGTAGCTCTATAAAACCCCACCATCTGTCCTTTCTTAATATCAAGAATGGAGTAAGATAGATGAAAGATGAGACTAAATATGAAAACCTTAGGGGCAGAAGGCCCCGATTAACTGTATATGAACATCTAACACAAACAAGAAGTTACGTTATTTCAATTCAAATCTACTACTAAAAAGCGTTAGATAGCAATTGAGTCATACCACTAATCTAACAGGAAAAGTTTGATGTACAGGGGCAAGACATTACTCATTTGAAGGTGGTAATTTAAATTAAATAAATTAAAAATATTATAAAAAATTGCAGTCCGGCGATGTGACGACGTCACAATAAATAATTGATCATTTATTATAAGAATTTTGAATATTTTTGAAAAAATTAGAGGAAAAAATTTTTTAATTATGCTAAAGTATTAAGAAGATAAAAAGTTTATAATGTAAAATGAAAAATAAATTACACTATAAAATTGTTAGTTAAAGAAATAGATGAATAATTTATCTATGTTTTGTTAAGAGAAGAATTTTAGTCGAATTAATTTAAAAATTTATTTTTTAAATAATATTTTTGTCTATATATTTATTTTGTAATTTGCTTAATAAATTAATTTTAAAGTGAATTACATTTTAGTCCAAAAATTAAATTATTAATAATAATTTTCAAGTTAAAATTCTAAATTATTTTTAGTCAAATCTTTCGATGGAAAGTAATAATGTTATATAAATTGAATCAAATAAAAAAAAGGAGAAAAATAATAATTAGTAATGCCTATTCAAAAGTAGTGCTTAGTAATTTTACAATTAACTATTTTATATTTAAAAATAAATTACACGGGAAAAGTATTAATTACTGTATTTAATGCAAAAACCCCTCGTTATATCACGGATTCGGATATATTGTGCCTTTTTTTTTTTGTCTCCCAAATTTTAAAAGCACTAGAGTCAATAAATTTTAAATTACCAATTGCCATTGAAATTCTTTTTACAACGAAATAAGGTATTTTATTCCTACCATTGTTTTCGAAATTACCACTACAGGTAAACAATAAATTCGTCAAGATTTAAATAAGTAAAATAAGTACACAGACCAATTATTATTTATGTTTCCTTTTGATATTAAAAGTAGTTTATTTATTGGTTTTAATAAGTACTGTCTCCTCATTTACAAGTTTCTGTGAATTCGAAAATTTCACATCTTTTATGTGGATTGACGTAATACCGTCAATTCACATAAAAGGTGTGAAATTTCGAATTCACCCGCTTAATGTGTAAGAAAAAAATATTTATTTCTGAACAGAAAGTTCTAAAATTATTGCGATACTCAATTAAAAACTATAGACTATAACTTTCTTTTAACAGGAACAAAGTTTATTTAATATTACCTCCAAATGCATTTCGCCCTGACAGGGCCTCCTCAGTGGATAGAGTAGTACAACCAGTAATAGCATCACAAACATCGTGACCTAGATAACAAACTAGCTCGCCTGAAGATGTATTTATACCCCTTAGTACATTATCCCAGCATGCATCTACACTCATGCTGGTATTTAAATCAATAAATTGATAACTTTTTACATTTATTTCATACGTATTATTTATTTGTATGTATATAAAATGGGGGTATAGTTTGATCTTTCTATCTCGAATCTCATGGAAACGAGAAAAAAAAACTTAAAATAGACAGGTTGAGAGATATACAAGTTTCTACGTAGTAAACAGTAATATGTTTGTTTGAAGTACAGTGTTTATTTATTATTATTATTTTTAAATAAAATAGCAAGTACAGCTCAGACCTGTATTAGGTATAAATAAGGCATTTTTGACAGACCTTAACAATAGTTTGTCAATAGTTTCAATAGCTGTATTTCCCTCAACCAATAAGATGCAAGCCAAACTCATAGCCAATCAGAAAAAAAGAAGAGTAAATTGCAACTATATAATGTTTTGCAAGAGATGTTTAATGTAATATAAAAAAAAAAGCAGAAGTATTATCCATTGTCTCAAGGAAAATTCTAAATATAGAAGAAAAATCATCAAAAAAACTGAACTCCAAATGCGAGCATAAAATGTATTTCCAACAAGTCAGATATAATACTTTATACCGAGCTAAAAAAACAAGGAATATTTATTTTTAATGGAAAAAGTGATGAAGTATCAATTAATAGAAACGATGACTAATATCCTCGTGTTATGCTATCGCACAGTAAATTAATAATACATGCGAGAAACACGTGATACTTATGACAGGAAGCGAATAGTGATAAATTCAAAAACGATACGTTTCCGGAAAATCATGGTTTTTATATATCACTGCTTAATTCCAAATTGATAAATTATTAAGTAAAAATAAAAATATATTGCCATAAATGATCTATACTGTACAGTACTGTACATTAATTTGGCATTCTCAAATACTGTCCAGCTTTGTTTGAGAGAATGGCTAACAGTACAGACACGGTTTATATATTAAAGAAAGCTTTTGTTCCATTGCAATTAGAAATAAAAAATTCACGTGATTCTTAATTCGTTATTTCATGCCGATTGATGGCTTTCTCGACAAACCTACCAACAAAAACAAGAGCAAACTTCAACATCTGTCGGTTGGTATAAAAGTTAGAACCGCGTGACAACTAGCTGAAATACGATTAATGGCGAAATTTTTTCGCTAGCGACAAAGCTCTATAGTTCCGAACATCAAAGCAATTCGCCGGAAACGATGTCATATCTGACGTGTTACTTGTTCTGTTTTTCGCTTTCGCCAGCGAATCGAGCTCATTGCGAACTAAGCTTTAATCCCAAGCCCAGCCAATTCAAAGTCGATCGGCCTTAAAAATGCTAAATTGCCACTCTGGTACTCAGATGAAAAATTGAAAGAAGCTTTGTGGTACCGGTAGACAGGAAGAATCGAATTATCTGCAGATTGACCCGGAAACACTTGCTGCACCGATGATTTTTGCGCAGTTTGCAAATTTTAAATGAGCTCGTCGACTGTATTTTAATTGAATAAAATCACCGATTTCGACCGGTTCCTGCTAGTAATATTTCTAATAACTACAGTTTTCTGATTTTGCATATTACATGTATAGCCCAGGGGTGACCAAAACTGAACATGTTACTTGTCTAGACCCTTATGGAAGCTTTCATATATCGGACTCCTTACCTCCTTATTAGAAGAAGGAGTCTGATTTTGGAGCTACTCCTCTATATTTAAATACGTGTGCACATATATAAAGAATATAAGTTATATATAAATTACCGTTCTAATATAAAATGTTGCTCTCATATATTTCTGATAGACGGTACAGTACATGGCTTCTATGGTGACAATATTTGGCACCTCTGGTATAACGTAATTATTAAAACATTTTTCGAATAAATGCTTATTAACTTTTCAGAAAGTTTTCCTTGAGACTAGTTTTTTACCGAGCAAATCCACTTTAAATTTTATGATTTAAAATGACGAAAAGACTTCACGTGTCATTACAATTTAAACTGTAATAATACATACCATTTCTCTTCTTTCATTAAAACTCTTAATCATTTAATAGTATAGAATAAAAATTCTTACACAACATTTTATTAGCATGATTCAAATGCTTTGTTTTACATATTATTTTTATTTGTTATATAGTATATGTTAGTTAATTTATATAACATAACTAGAAGATCCTATGCCCTTTACCACGAGTGTCCGAGCTTTATTTTAGAAAACTATTTTTATTTACTTTGAAGGCCGACTCTATTGCTAACAGATAAAGTATGATATACAGGGGCACGTCACTATTAATTTGAGATGGAGATCATATTTCAAATGAAATAAATTAAAAATATGATTAAAAATTGCAGCCTGGCATCGTGTGACGATGTCACAATAAATAATTGCTCGTTATATTATACATATATAGCCTATATATATATGAAATACAGAATTATTGTTGCCTTATATAGAAAGTAATAATTTCACCTAATAAAGTTTTTACAGCGATTAACCACGATTTATAAAAATAAAATTAAGTAACGAAACTTTATTAAATGTTTCAAAAAGCACTTTATCGGCCATAAGCCATATTATTTATATTTGTAAAGATTTTAGAAACATTGTGGAACGAATCAAATTATTATTATTTTTGAACATTATTTTTGGCCAAATCTGTTTATGTTTAACTAATTTTCTGTATTTTATAGTTTATTTTATAACGAAACGAGTAATTTGTATTAAAAAAATTAAACTTTACATATACCAGTGTTGAGAAACGGATGTTTACAAAATTTTCTACTCAAAGAGTTCTTTCTTCACATTCATTTAATCATGATAAGCAGTTTCGAGGATGACAAATAGTAAAATAGTTTCACATGGATAATTCCCAAAATGTTAATAATATTATGCAAATAACAGGATGACATTTAAATTATTCTTATATAAAATTTAGCATTTTATTAACTTTTAAATTGTGGCATTGTCGAGGGAGAGTCGAAATCATACCAGCAAATCCTACAAGTTGAAGACGAAGTTTAGAAGTGTTTAACGAAATAGAAGCTTAAATATGTCGTCTATTCATTTTATTTTAACTATTTGTTTCATTTTAGGACACTTTTATATTTACAGTAAATATATTATAAAGCTATTTATTTAATTATAGAAATAATTAATAATATATTTAAAAATTTTAACTTTAAAGAAGAATTTAATGCTCTTTATAGTTTTGACTTTTATAAAATCAATTTTTTTAAATATATATTTTAGCTTGTGATACAGACTGTGTAGAAGATTATTTCGAATGTCTCATGAAAAATGTTACAATGGAAGAAGTGAGTTAACACACTGTTAATGTAATATATTCTGTGTTTTAAATATATATAAATTGACTATATATATTGATATTAAATTTACTAAATTTCTAGTATAAGTTCCAATAGAAAAAATAGTAAAAAAGAATTTTTTAATAGTGTGTTGCAACGGAAAAGCAGTGCTGTGAAGCTTCATTAAATGAAACAGATGATATGTGGACCGAGGTTCAATCAAATTTATTTCGTCTTTGATAATTTTAATTTAAGAAATAAATTAATTTAACGTAATTAAAAGTCTTCCTCTCTAAGTTCTTATTGCATATATTACATATTATTACTAAATAATCATTAATTCTATAATCATACATCCAGTAGTGAACCATATCAATAAAAACGATTTATTTATTTTTAGGCATTTAATCATTGTCTTCTGAAAGAATATCTTCCGGTAAATACAAAAATTATTTTATAATATAAATAATTTTTATATTATTTTAATAAAATTTAAATTAAAATTATATTATTTTAATTTGTAGCTTGCTATAAATTGTCTTAATACCGAAGAAGAAGGAGGAGAATGCTCGCAAGTTCTGGAAGAATATTTTAACAAGGTATTAAGTGTACAGTATATTATATATTAATTTAATTAATATTGATATAAACTTTTAAATAATTTTATTTTTAACACAGACGGATAGTAATTACAATGAATTTTGGAAATCAGTCCTGTCAGCAGTACAGGTTAGTTAAATTTATGATGGTTAAATTGACTCAATATAATATTAAAAATGAATAAAATTATATATATATTATTCAATACGTACATCAAAGAAGATAAAAATGCATTATTAATTAGAAAGCTTTAAAATAAATATTTAAAATTTTCAAGTTTAAGAAAAGCATTTTAATTTCAATTGTTTACTTAAGTACTTATGCTGTATAATATTTATTATTAAATATATACATATGTAAATAAATACTTATTAAATGTTTTAAGCTATTTATAATTTTAATTATATCTTATTTATAGCGTCCAACCACAGCAGAAGAATGTGCAGATTCTTTTTTTACTCAACTGCATGTAAGTTTAAATTATGTTAATTAAAGATTTTACTGCTACATTTTTAACCTAAGAAATTTGTAGTATATGAAGTTTATAATTTAAATTTTTCCATGTGTAGTGTATGCAAATTTTTCTTAACTATTTAAACATTTTTTCTTAAAGCTCATTGTAATGTAACCTCTTTAATTATGCACGTAATCTCCAGCAGATGACAATAAAAACTTAATGCTTTTTTTCTATGGGAAAGTCCTTTTCCAAAAATTCTCGGAAACGAAAGTAGATAGAACCAAACAGTCTCTTGCGTTAGAATCTCATTTAATTCTTCTATTGACACACGGTTCAGTATTTAAACAATTGAATTCGTTAATTTTTTATGAATTTTTTTTAAAATCAAAGAAAATTTGGAAAAATTGACTGTAAGGTTCTATGTACCGAGTACTTCCCATTTCGATAATTTTTCGAAACGACTTTCCCATAAAAATAGCATTAAATTCTTAATGCCATCTGCTGATTTGCATGCCTAATCAAAGAAGTTACAATCAGCCTTAATTGAAGTTTTGCATATTAAATATCTTATTTTATTTCATCGTATTGTTGCAGTAGAATCTTTAAAGCAAACGAAAAATAAAAAAAATAAATACCAATAATAAAACATACATTTAAATTTTATTTTTAGGATTCCCGCATGAAACAATGCGAACAAAATAAAGACGAAGTCCTGGATGATTTGTGTTCCTTGTATACAAAGCATTCTTCTGAATGAATTTGTATTCAATTAGTAGTACACTTACAGCAAAGGATTACATGAAATTTTGAGATTTATGTCATTATTCAGATAATATTTTTGATTTAGAAATAATAAATTTGTAAAATTTATAAAAGAAATAAAATTTCTTTGATAATATTAAAATTGATTTTTTGTTTATTGTAAAATTAATACTATATAAGTATGTATAGCTCATATTTTTAAGTTTAATTACTTAAATAAATGTTTAAAACAGCGTATACATTAAAATGTTTTTTTACTTCTTAATGTCTTAATTTAAAATCTTTGTTTAATAAAAAAGTTTGTTGAATAAAAGGTACCGTACAGGTGACAGAACAGATGAAAGAAAGTGAAGTTATAATGAGATTTCCTAGGAAAAAGTATGAATAAAACAAAATTGAATAGAGAGTTGTAATTTTAAGATTAATGTGTTTTATCAGTTGTATAGCTATAGAAATATATAAATAGTGTACGCAATTTATCATTAAGTGTTGAAAACTCTTCCAGTGAGGCTATATTATATTTCAGGTAAAGATATTTTAATATTTTAAATAAAACACAAAATAGATGCTTATTATCGTTGTTTTTATTACATTTTCTAGNCCATGAATGTTTATTGTTTTATTTTTATACAAAATAAATAAATTTATAACTTACTTTTCTCCAAATTTCTTCATTATCATTAATCAATTTTTTGCAGCAATATATGTCTGTATCAATAAACTGAAAATAACGTTGTAATCACTTTATATTTTTATACAGTTGTCCTCCCTATAACACTGTTGATAATTCCATTTTATACGAATTCCATGTTGTACGAGTCACTTAGATTTTATAAATATGTGTGCTGGGCTGTGAATGGCTCATGTATTTGTAAAATCTAAGTGACTCGTACAACATGAAATTCATATAAAACAGAATAATCAACAGTGTTATAGGAGGGGTCGACTGTACTTAATGTAGAAAGCGTATAAAGTCTTCAAACCATTTTTTAAAAGAACTATATTGATTCATGTCGCAATAAGAAGTATTGTATTACCAATAGTATTTACAAAAATGCCACCTCTATTTAATAGTAGTAACATTCCTTGAATCACATAACGTATGCTCTATTATGCCTAATAGAAAGCTTTCATTTAATAATTCGTATTGCGACATAAACCAATCTGATTCTCAACCACTCGACTGTACTGTACATTAAAGAAATCGAAACACATCTAAATAATTAGTTCATTAGCCATTATTTTTACAGTACCGCCCCAAAATAAATTTAAATGGAGTCTAAATTAAGAGATTTTGTGGATTAATATCGAAGAAAAATTGTCAAATATTTATTTAATTGATACTTACTTTCTGCATTATGGTTTCACTACTCGCCAGACATTCGTAGAATTTTCGTGCACATTCATCCTCAGCTTTAATAATATATAATTTTATAAATCTTATTTCTAATCCGATATTTTACTAACTCTTAATGTACTCATTTATAAACTGTAATTTTTATTAAAATATTTGTATATATTAATATTACCTGCAATGCATACAAGTAATGCAACGAGGATAATCACAGTACTCGTCCCACACATCCTTATTTCTGTTGGAAGAGAAATTTAGAATTAGATAAGTGTTTGGGTTTATATAATGGAAACCATGGGATATTCTACAGTAATTCTTTAGGAAACTACTAATGTGTATTGTTAATGTGAATTCAAGTGATGAAAATTCGTGAGAAATTACAGGAAATTGTTTTATTTTCAGGAAAGAATTCTTTTTATGATTATAGAAACGTTTTTAAGTATTAACTAAGTTATGTATATTATATAAAAAGTTATTTTTTTACAATACAATAATCTTATAACAGATGGAGCTACACGCAATTTTATTTACTATGATTAATAATTTGTCAAATAAAATATAAAAGCAGGCAAATTTATGCAATTCCTTGCTAGTTAATTAAGCTATTCAGTTTATCTCGTAATTGTATTTTTAACTTAACTTATAAACAAGGATATTTGTAATACTGTAATATAATATGAAGTTTATATATGGAAACAAAATTTATAGTCTAACTTGTATGTTGAATAGTCGTATTTAAATATATAAATTGTGCTTGTATGCACAATTTATATATTTAAATACGACTATTATATATTATATATAATAGTGAAATATTATATATGTTGGTATTGGTCGAATAACCTCAAACGCAAGGTCACACTGCTTTTGTTTGTATAGTGTTTCCCTATGTTACGTGTATAAAGTGGGTAGATTTTTTGATAAAAAAGCCAGAAAAATACGCACGAACTTAAAAAATTCTCAAAAAAGACAATACATAAAAAGTGTTTTCTTGTTGGGCTGCAATTTAAAAAAAATTGTAGACCTATAAATTCCCATTGTCCGTCCGTCCGACTGTCTTTCCTAAATCTCCAGAATGGAATTAAATAGATGTAAGACGAGACAAGATATGGAAACTTCAGGGAGAGGAAGTCCCTATTAACTATATATGAAATTCTGATGCAAACCGGAAATCATGTTAATTTAATTCAAAAAATTTTCCCTGAAAGGAGTTAGCTAGATGACTGGCACGACTTGATTGAAGGCAGAAAAGTATGATGTACAGGGGCAAGACGCTATTAATTTGTGATGAAGAGCATATATTTTTAATTAAATATATTAAAAATATGATTAAAAATTGCAGCCCGACATTGTTCTTTCTACATTCCTCAGAAAATAAGTCTCTCAGCAGAGTCGGCCTTTTATTGAGGCTTTTCAGCTTCACGTCAACACGTAAAACGTTATAATTTTTACTGAGGTGTACAAATAAAAGAATTTTTAATGTATGTCTTTCTGAGAGTTTTCTAGGTTTATACTTATTGTCCTCGCCTTTTTATAAATATATTTTTTAATTGTGCTTTCGCAGAGGGACGATTATAATGTTTTACATATTGAGGAAGACGAGAAGCTTCAATGAAAGTTCCGCCACGAGACTGTTATATCCAGAATTTCAGCATTTCCTAAAACGTATGGATTTCGGACTTAGGTCCCTCGTTAGCTTTGTTTTTTTTTACAAATATTTATAAAATTGACCACATCCACTCTACTAAATGTACAATAAAATCCCGACGTTTGGTAAATTACCGATAACAAATCATTGATTACAGATCCAAGTTCCAGGTGTTTGATTAAACTTGTTGATTCGAAATTTTCAGCAGTATAATTAAAACAAATAGTAAAACAAACAGTATAGGACCTATACTGTTATTTACCAATCGTCGTGAGTTTATTGTGCATTTCGTAGATGTGGATGTGTCAATTTCATATATATATATATATATATAAAGCTGACGAGGGACTTAAGGTCCGAAATACATACCTTTTGGGGAAAATAAAGTATTTTTTAAGGCTGATCTTGTGCCCAGTGACGGTGTAATAAGTCTAGGAATAAAGAAGTCAACATAGTGCTCACAAGTATATTTTCTAACTTCATACTTATTATTATTCCGTCTATAATTTTTATTAAATGAATTAAACGTAACGTTTTTGTAAACACTCCACCCTCCTGTAACTATTACCTGCATATTCATCAACGCCTGCGTTACATAATTTACGAGAAAACCGTGTTATAAATCAATTGTTTTATGTTTATAATTCATTCAAATTACATTTTTTTATGGGGATAAATTTTAGAAATTTTACTTTAGCCTTTTATTTTGATTATTTAAAAAATAATAATAATAAAGATACAATATTTCAAACAGGTGAAGAAATAGAAAACCAACGAAGCTTTAAAGTCATTTTTTTTTATTTCGATGGAAAATGTCATCATCAAAGCATATCGGAAAATTCCATTTAATATTTAGCCATCAATTATTCCTGCAACAACGGAAAAGCCAGGTGATCTGTGAGAAATTATCCTCTATACAATTGCATAGTGTGACAATTCCGAATACATGAAGTTCAAATACTTGAAAATATAACTTTTACAAGTGGAAATTCTTAATTGGACAGGAAATTTCTAGTTAAACATTTAATAATTTATAATCACAAGTTAATTTTTTTCGAAAATGGTACAACTCGAAGAATAATTAAGTATTAACTTAGGCTATATTTAGATAAATTAATCTTATTTCTGTGAATGAACAGGACAAAACTAAATAAAAAATTAATAATACAGTATAAATTGATTGTATAAAGAATTTTACACATTTAAAAACAATGGTAATTGTTTGAAAGGTTAAGTATCTTTACATTTTATTGCTTAGTAACTGTTTCCAATAAAACGTTTTTTTTTAAATGTTCAAGGTTTCTGGCATTCGATTAACTTTCTGATTAAAAAAATAAATAAATCCTATAGGATTTAAATAATAACGATACCAGCCAGCTCTCTATCACACCGAATAATGCAAAGTATTGTCTTATTTTATTTTCCACTATGTAACTTAAAATAGAGGGAAAATATGGCGATCGGTCAAAAAATGACCCTGAAAGATTTTTATATTTTTATATTTATCACCTTAAAACGTCGAGAAATGTGAAAAAAAACTTCGAGNGCTAGTTAATTAAGCTATTCAGTTTATCTCGTAATTGTATCTTTAACTTAACTTATAAACAAGGATATTTGTAATACTGTAATATAATATGAAGTTTATATATGGAAACAAAATTTATAATCTAACTTGTATGTTGAATAGTCGTATTTAAATATATAAATTGTGCTTGTATGCACAATTTATATATTTAAATACGACTATTATATATTATATATAATAGTGAAATATTATATATGTTGGTATTGGTCGAATAACCTCAAACGCAAGGTCACACTGCTTTTGTTTGTATAGTGTTTCCCTATGTTACGTGTATAAAGTGGGTAGATTTTTTGATAAAAAAGCCAGAAAAATACGCACGAACTTAAAAAATTCTCAAAAAAGACAATACATAAAAAGTGTTTTCTTGTTGGGCTGCAATTTAAAAAAAATTGTAGACCTATAAATTCCCATTGTCCGTCCGTCCGACTGTCTTTCCTAAATCTCCAGAATGGAATTAAATAGATGTAAGACGAGACAAGATATGGAAACTTCAGGGAGAGGAAGTCCCTATTAACTATATATGAAATTCTGATGCAAACCGGAAATCATGTTAATTTAATTCAAAAAATTTTCCCTGAAAGGAGTTAGCTAGATGACTGGCACGACTTGATTGAAGGCAGAAAAGTATGATGTACAGGGGCAAGACGCTATTAATTTGTGATGAAGAGCATATATTTTTAATTAAATATATTAAAAATATGATTAAAAATTGCAGCCCGACATTGTTCTTTCTACATTCCTCAGAAAATAAGTCTCTCAGCAGAGTCGGCCTTTTATTGAGGCTTTTCAGCTTCACGTCAACACGTAAAACGTTATAATTTTTACTGAGGTGTACAAATAAAAGAATTTTTAATGTATGTCTTTCTGAGAGTTTTCTAGGTTTATACTTATTGTCCTCGCCTTTTTATAAATATATTTTTTAATTGTGCTTTCGCAGAGGGACGATTATAATGTTTTACATATTGAGGAAGACGAGAAGCTTCAATGAAAGTTCCGCCACGAGACTGTTATATCCAGAATTTCAGCATTCCCTAAAAGATATGGATTTCGGACTTAGGTCCCTCGTTAGCTTTGTTTTTTTTTACAAATATTTATAAAATTGACCACATCCACTCTACTAAATGTACAATAAAATCCCGACGTTTGGTAAATTACCGATAACAAATCATTGATTACAGATCCAAGTTCCAGGTGTTTGATTAAACTTGTTGATTCGAAATTTTCAGCAGTATAATTAAAACAAATAGTAAAACAAACAGTATAGGACCTATACTGTTATTTACCAATCGTCGTGAGTTTATTGTGCATTTCGTAGATGTGGATGTGTCAATTTCATATATATATATATATATATAAAGCTGACGAGGGACTTAAGGTCCGAAATACATACCTTTTGGGGAAAATAAAGTATTTTTTAAGGCTGATCTTGTGCCCAGTGACGGTGTAATAAGTCTAGGAATAAAGAAGTCAACATAGTGCTCACAAGTATATTTTCTAACTTCATACTTATTATTATTCCGTCTATAATTTTTATTAAATGAATTAAACGTAACGTTTTTGTAAACACTCCACCCTCCTGTAACTATTACCTGCATATTCATCAACGCCTGCGTTACATAATTTACGAGAAAACCGTGTTATAAATCAATTGTTTTATGTTTATAATTCATTCAAATTACATTTTTTTATGGGGATAAATTTTAGAAATTTTACTTTAGCCTTTTATTTTGATTATTTAAAAAATAATAATAATAAAGATACAATATTTCAAACAGGTGAAGAAATAGAAAACCAACGAAGCTTTAAAGTCATTTTTTTTTATTTCGATGGAAAATGTCATCATCAAAGCATATCGGAAAATTCCATTTAATATTTAGCCATCAATTATTCCTGCAACAACGGAAAAGCCAGGTGATCTGTGAGAAATTATCCTCTATACAATTGCATAGTGTGACAATTCCGAATACATGAAGTTCAAATACTTGAAAATATAACTTTTACAAGTG